AAGTTAAGGGTTCCTTTAAGGTTCCTAAGGTCCTTTTAAGTTAAGGGTTCCTTTAAGGGGTTCCTTTAAGGGCCTTTACGGGGTGCCCTTAAGGGTTCCTCTGAGGGATCCTGGCAATATACAGTTGATGGAAGCCCTAAACCCCTAAACCACAATCCCCGAAACCTAAGCCCCTAAAACACTTGTCATTTAACCCTAAACCCTAAACCCTAAACCCTAAACCCTAAACCCTAAACCCTAAACCCTAAACCACAAGCGAGCACTAGGCGGGAGGCGTCAGAGGCCTGGGCTTCAGAGCTTCAGGGAGGGCTTTCGTGTCTTATGCCTGCAGGGCCCTCCTTGGAGTCGAGTAGCTGACGTCCTCGAACCTTTGCAAGGCTTTAAACCCCAAGCCCTAAACCCTAGTTGCAGGGATTTAGAGGTGAAGGGCTTTCGGTTCAGGACCTAGACCCTAAACCTTAAAACCCTAAACCCTAAACCCCAAACCCCAAACCCTAAACCCCAAACCCCAAACCCTAAACCCTAAACCCCAAACCCGAACGACAAGTTTGGGGCTTTGGAGCCTGGTGGGTGAAAGGGGTACTAAACCCTAAACCCTAAACCCTAAACCCTAAACCCTAAACCTTAAACCCTAAACCCTAAACCCTAAACCTTAACCGATTCGGGGGGGGGGGGGGCCCTTGCAGTTTTCATGCCTCGGGGCTTTCGGGGACCCCTTCAGGTCTCTGGGAGTGGCCTTCGAGAAATTTAGGGAGTTTGTGCTTGGGGTTTAGGGTTTAGGGTTTAGGGTTTAGGGTTTAGGGTTTAGGGTTTAGGGTTTGGGGTTTAGGGTTTAGGGTGTTTTGAGTTGATGGTTTGGGGGGGTTGATGAGGAGGTCTCGTGCTGGTGTTTCGGGATGCAATGTAGAGTTTGTGATGTGAGCTGGTGTGTTGGGGCACGCTTTGCTTGTAAAAAGCCTTCTAGGCCTCAACCCGCTCAATCCTAAGCACTTAACCCGCACATGGCATTTAAGCTGAAGGGAAGCATCACCGCAAGTTGCTGAAGATTTTGACATCAAGTGTCTCGTCGTCGGGGAGGGCTGAGGGAGGTTAGGCTTCCGGGTTTGAGGTTTAGGGTTCAGTCGCTTTCCTCCTCGATTCAGGGTGTAGTGTGGGGCCGCGAATTAGCAGAAGCGTGTGTGTGCGTGTATGTCTCTCTGGAGTGTAGACGGGTTGGGTGGATGTCGGTAGTGGTTTCAGTTTCTCTTTGGACCTTACTTCCGTCGCGAAAACCCTACACCCCAAACCCCAAACCCTAAACGCCACCCAAGTCCCGAAGCCCTAAATCCTCAAGCCTGGCCCTAACCGCACAACACGAGGCGCATGAGCCTTTTGGCCCGCCAATTTGCCATGGGACTCAACATGCCGCCCGGAGATGCAAAGCTAGGATTACTGTCCGGGCCTACCGGTCTAGTATACGGTCGCAAGAACTTATAAGACTATTCCTTAGTGGTGCTGATTCGAATTTTCTTCAAGTTCTTGTACAAGATTCAACAAAGCCCCATTCGGCTTACTAAGGCCCTACATTTCTACTGTTGTCCCCGTTCGCCCTCCATCGGTTGGCATGAGCTGAACATTTGATGCTCGCCATCGTAACCACCACTACCATCATCGTTGTCGCCGTCATCATGATGACGAGCAGGACAAGTGGTAGTGATTTGTGATCGTCGTCGCCGTCGCGGTGGGTGTATGTCAAACAAAAAACAATGACGACCATCACGGGCAGCACAGGGATATAGATCTTTTCTTCATGAACAACTACACATTTAACTCTAAAGCCTAAAACACTAAGCTCCAAACCATAAACCATGGCTCCGAGGAACGAAGAGCAAGATGATGAAGAGACGGTGCACCGCATCCGAATGGCCGTGCGGGCCCTTGCTACTCCCGCCGCATGAGTGCAAGGTGTCCATTCAAGCAAGATTGCAGCTCCTAGCGATGTCTCACCGGGGCCCGAACCAAGCGGCAGTGCTTTCAATGCTGTTGCTACATGTAGAGATCGGGGTATTTCTCTAAATTAGGGTCCCCTTTTTAGGCCCCCACAATACTGCGACACCCTTGCAAAATGGACCCTAGAAGGGACCATTACTTAGAAGACAACTACCCCTACATTTTCAAAGCGTCAGGTTCGACGGCGAATTGCCCGCCCGCCTGCCCCAAACCTCAAAGAAGAAGCCCCGAAGGCAACGGCACCACCGTACATCTTCAGGAAGTCTGGGACTTTAACCCGAACGTGGGACAGGGCTAAGGAGCAGCATCCGAACTTTTTGCCAGCGGCTTTCGAAGAGGTATCGCGTTCGAAGGTTGCATGTCTAACCCTAAACCCTAAGCTTCAGTGGACCCTGTTGAAACAGGTTCCCACAGCGTATTCTTCTTTAGGGTTTAGGGTTAGTGACTTTATTTGCTATAAGGGCATGAAGACAATAATGTTCCAACTTCCCGGTTTCTAGCATAAGAGAGGCGCGCCTTTATGGCCTTTGGAGCTGTCGAGAGGGGGGCGGCTGTGTTGGAATTTAGGGGCTTAGGATTTGGGGTTTAGGGTCTAGGTCTAGGATCTTACTCATTCGGATTTAGGGTTTAGGGTTTAAGATTTTCTAATTGTCCCTGTGTAAGTCTACGAGGCTGTTGGAATCTCCTCAGCGGGGTCGGGCTTGGTTTAAGATCTATTTTCGTCCCTTTCGTTTGGCGACAGGTTCTTGCAGCCAGCAAGCGTATTTATCATCGACCCCTAAACCCGAAACCCTAAACCCTGCAACCCTAAACCCGGCGGATTGCGTTGTTCAGTGGGCGTAACTAGGGGCTTTGCGAAGTGCGGCGGCTGCAACTGCAATCTTCTGCCCGGTACCTTCTTGAGCGATGCCGTTTAGGCAGATATCAGAGATGACAGGGTGTCAGCAATGATAGCAGCCTTTCCCATGAAGGGAAACTTCCGATGGCACGCCGGTGGACTTTTGTGCTGCTACCGGGCGTGGCCAGACATGCAGAACGGCTCAGCTTCCTCATTGGATGAAGTTTCCCGCACTCCCCGGCCGCAACTGGCCTGAGGGGGATGACCATGAAGAGAAATTTGAAGAAAACCTGTTCGAAAAGAGGGTGCCTGGGAGCCTTTGGCAACTATCAGGTAGGCCTCCGGGGTCCAGAGAGTCGGACCTTGGAAGGCCTGCTCTTGGGCGAGGAACTTTCAGGCACGGCTCTTGAACATCAGTTCCTTTTGTGAACGGCCCGTTCCTTGCAGTAGACAAGGGTCGAACTGAAGCCAGCAAGCTCTGGGATCAGCGCAGCACATCGGAGATCCTCATAGACTCATCGACAAAAGGCCAGTTGCCAGTAACCATGGTAAGACCCGTCGCTCGCTTTACCGATGGGCTGATACGGATCACAGCAAGGCCAAACATCATCAAAACGAGGACGGCAACAATAACAATCACTAGAATGACACGAAGGATCACAGTAAACTTACCAGCACACCAACGGCAACAGTTAGACTAACAGCATGTTCGCATGATAGTAGCATCGTGCTTTTCTCGCCGGTCGTCGGTCGTCGTCTTCGTCGTAGCTGTGGTGGTATAAAATCAACGTCTTTCGTTGCATTTATGCCTATGTTGGTGAGAATGTTCGGAACCACGGAAATCAGCTAGCATGTTAACGAGTTAATGGTTGTTGCTGTCAAGATGAGCACTAGGACGGTGCTGCAGATATCAACCATGGTGATGACGGTCACGATGATAGTCGCGATTAGGCTGATGGTGGTGATGATGACAGGTTCAATGATAGGCATGGTGTGATGAAGAAGAAGCTGACATCACCTGATGATGAGATTTGGGGTTCTCAGTCCAACCTGAACCCTAAAAACCCAAAACCTAAACCCTAAACCCTAAACCCTATAAACCTAAACCCTAAACCCAAAATGCTCCTTGAACCCGAGCCCTAATGCCATGGTGTCGTGTTAAAGGTACCGAAGCATGGCTCGACACGCGCGTCTTAGGATGTTCGGGGGTTTTTATCAGGGTTGCCAGTGTTTCCAGAGTTTGCCACGTAAGGTACGGTTTCGGGCTTAGGGTTTAGGGTTTCACTGTTCCCAGAGTTTGCCACGTATGGTCAGGTGCGCGTCCGTGTGGAAATTGGTTTCAAGTCTGCAGGTATAGCTTCCTGCGGCCAGTCGGATACCATTAGCTTGCCTTTGTTGGGGATGTACAGCCGCCCTCGCATGGAGGATGGATCACGGGCACCACTCGTCTTCCCCGCTGGCACAACGGACACTGTAAAGCACCCATAGAGATGTCGTGGGTGGTTCGGGTTTCTGCAGATCGTGGTTCGGCCTCTGTGCATGCTATGACAACCCTGAGCCATGAAGCCTAGCTCTACCCAGATGGAAGTGTTGCAGTTCTCGGATATTCCTCCTGCACCACAGGTTAGACTTCATCTGAGACCCAGTCGTCCGAAAGCACTAGGAACCTGTCCTGGCACAGTTATGGGTTGTTCCAGATTTTCAAACTCAAACACCCCGGCCTCTTCTATCGCACCGCTACCAAATTGAGTTCCAACAACTGCCGCTTGCAAAGCGAAGCGACATGGCAATTGCCGACTAAGAACGAAACCATACAGAACCCCTCAGGTTCCCATCAAAGGCATCTCTTTCAAGTAGATCCCCTCACTCCCTTCCAAGTGTCAGCAACAGAGGGTGCACCCGCTTTCGATCCAGGCGAGACGGGAGAACCTACCAAACCCCCAAATAACCTACCTTTTTAAAAGGACTAATATACAGAAATCATAATGAGGACCCCTAAACAGGTAGGGTTTACAGATAGACCCTAAAACCTTTCAGTTGCTGTCGTCTTTGATCCAGCCTCCATGCGCTTAGCATGAACTGGTGGGAACGAACCGCCGTAGGAATTTTTCAAGTCGCCCGGGGGCTGACTTCTTGACGGGACTAGTTTTCTGGCTTTAGAGTGCTTTTCTCTGTATACTGAATGATGTGGTACTCGGGTTCATCATGAAATTCTGGGTCATAACCAGTATGACATCTCTGCTTCAGTTGTTCACTGTTGTTTCTTTTGGGACTCTTCATGGCCATCAGTTTGAAGAGCTTGGCTGCTCCCTTTCCACTGCAGCCTGCTGTATATACCCTGCACGGCCCTGCAATGCCTGGAAACTTGGTGATTGCAGAATTTGTTTGCTACACTTCGCTGGGTGTGTGTGATGCGCACCCAGCGGATGCAGAGACATCGTGTGACGTTCATCTTCAAAATACCCCAAATTCAACGGCCCAATGTGCTGCTGTTGATGGTTTGACGGCGCAATATGCCGGTCTTGCCAACTGGGAGCATCTTCTAGACTAACAGTATGCAGTAGTTACTTACTTGAGAATTTGGGGCATGGTACAGTACAAGGGCAATGCGTCCTTAACTTTCTGAGGCACCTTTCCAGCCAGCTTCAAATACCGTGTGATGAGGTCTTCTCGAAGGTAGGAGGCGCGCACATGGTCAAGCTGGCACGCTTCCGGAAAGGCCGTCCAAGACACCTTCAGTCTCTAAGACTGGTGAAAAGGAAAGCAGTGCTTTGGAGGAGCATGAAGCATAACTAACGCTCAAAAATTCCATTCATCGGAGAACTGGGCCTCCAAGCAGTTGCCAGAGTCTTGATCCATGCCAATACCATTCATGCTGTAGTATCCCCTACAGCCCCTGTTTTATTTCTTGGAGCCCTATACGAAGCCCTTGGAGCAACCCTTGTAGTAGGTCTTGTAGAACCTTCAAAAGGGGCCCTTCAACGGAACCTATGCGCTGGAGCCCTTACCTTGAGTCCAACCGAAGCCTCGTGGTCGAGGGTTTAGGGTTTAGGGTTTAGGGTTTAGGGTTTCGGAGGTTGGGGTTGGGAGATGTTCGGCGTGTTGAGGGAGAGGTATACTCTAGGGGTCTGGATAATTCGTGCGAGTATGCTAAGTGCTAAGTATAGTGCAAAGTGCCCGAGGAGCCGTAAACACTAAACTCAAGTTTGGAAACTCTCCGAAGCTCCAAGTGATAGTCAGCTTCAGCCATGGGCGACGGTCGCAGGCCCTCGGAAGGATTTTGTACTCTACATAGTGCAGAAATCGCAGGTGCCACGTCTACTGGGTATTTCAGAACACAGAACAGGCGGCCCAGACATGAACTCTGTAGCCGGAGCCCTAAACCGGATAGACAAGGTACGCAGGTGAGCTTGAGCCACAAGCGGCAGTCGCATATCCTGGTAATGGTTGTGAAAGTGTTTAGGGTTTAACCGTCTAAGATAGGCAACAGGGGCCTAAATAATTGCCAATACTATTTTGGGGGCTCCTTTTTATAATTATAGTATAATATACCCCAAAACCCTTTTCTAATCCTTAAGGCCCCTACAGTAATTACGGGGGGTTCCCGTTTGTGTGAGGGGGGCTCGCTCCACAACCATACTCCCTAAATCCTAATTATTCGTAGAGACTTGACGCCGTAAGCCAACCCTACATCCAACAGGCCCCAGAACCCGAAACCCGAAAGGAGCCCTCGCAAGACTGACATAGAGCCCGGAAGTTTAAGCGGCATCGCTCTTCGAGTCCCTTTGCCTTCGCTGCAACCTACCTCCGAGCCTTAGTCGAGCAGAAAGACCCCTTCCCTAAACCCTAAACCCTAAACCCTAAACCCTAAACCCTAAACCCTAAACCCTAAATCCTATCTTAAGGTCATCCTTCTGGAGAACCTGCGCTTCCACACCGAGGAGGAGGCTTGCGTGTTGCTTGGTTTTGGAGGGTTTAGGGCTTTCGGTTTAGGGTTTAGGGTTTAGGTTTAGGGGTTTAGGGTTTAGGGTTTAGGGTTTAGGGTTTAGGGTTTAAGGATCCAGGGTGTAGGGTTCGGGATTCGGGATTTAGGGTCTAGGGTTTTGTGGT